TTGTCTTTTTGTAGTGGAGAAAAACTTGACTTTTCATCGCTACGTCATTATCATTTTATGGATGGTTTATGACAACCAGTTTCAATGAAGAAAAGGTTACCGATCACAAAATAGGTCACTATATATCGAACTTTGTCAGAAATTGGTCATAAGATATGGCTAAAAATGCACTATTTGCGAGCTCTTGAATATGTAAACATGGTGTTCAAATGTGACTTACATTGAAAACTACTGTCCATTTTTTAGACGGATTTCTGTAGAAAGTAGGTTATATCCTTACCATTAGTTCTAAGAATCATTTGAGATAAAATACAGCAAATTCAATCAAGATGAAAATTTATTTTAGAAAGATTTTTTGCAAATTTAACATAAAAAAAACAATAGTATCAGTTTATTGTATTTCACGATTGCTTGTTAAAAAATCATCCACTTTGTGATCTTTTAATTGTGGTCTAGCTTCATACGTTGTAATGACTACTTTAGATTTTACTTCCTATACATGAAAAAAATCATACAGAATCATATTGAAATATAATATTCACTTACACCAAGATATTCACCACGAAGACCAATATAGTAAATACGAGTTGTTTCATCACCGAAATTCGAAGGAAAATATAAAGATAAATGTGTTACACGTGAGAAATGTGATGGACTAAAATAGATATTTGATTAAAAATTTTTTCAAAAAATCAAGATATTTACTTGACTTGATAAGCTAATGTACCGGATGGATCATATGTAAGTGAAATTTCTTGATGAGCTTTTCCATGTGCATTATCAAAACGTAATTCAGGTAAATTACTCCATCTATTTATATATATATATATATAAATCATAATTCCTACTTTACTGAAATAATTTATCCACATACAATTTAACTGTATTCGGATGTGATGGACCATTTTCACCAATAACACATAGGCCAGTTATTTTTACAACACCATTAAATGGTATACTGAAAAGAAATTCTTGTTCATCATCACTTTCAACTACCTTTCAAAAAAAAACACGTATTCATAGTATTTTATTTGAACAAATCAAATACAAAATATACTTTTGATCGATCAAGTTGTTCTTCCCATGATCGAAATACATCTTTACCTGAACCATCATGTTTTTCATTATAACATTGTAAATTATATTTATCAATTTTTGTATATAAATTCTATTGACCAACATTTGTTTCATCAACATGTTGGCATATATGTGAACATGAATGTTGCATAATTTATCTGAATACAATAAAGAAAAATAATTCCTTTTTTTTTCTTGTTATATTTTCTATGGAACGATTTATTTTATATCATCAAGAAAAGAAATTACATAATGCACAAATAAACAAAACCACAACAACAACATTATTCTATGTACGTCCTTTATGTTTTTTTTGATGAAGTAACATACTACTTTCATCTCGTCGTCGTTTAGTCATTGGACTTCTTGGATCATAAACAGTTAATAATTCAGCATTTGTATAAATATCTTGAACATTATCTAATAATTCTTGAGATACAAAAGTATGTTTTAAAAATGGTGTTTGAACTTTATCAGTTATTTGTTCTGCTTGTGTTACATTTAAAGGTTCACTAGTTTGTTCATCGTTAGCAGTATGAACTTTTACACGAAATCTTTCTAATAAATCAAGTGTCTAAAAAATTAAATTCGAATATTTTATTCAGTACAAAAATAACTGATGAACAAACTTGAGATTCTCTTGAATTTGAATGACTACTATGATTTTTTTTATTGTTTCATCTTGTACCTGCCATTAATTCATCCATTAATGTAGTAGTACTTGAGATAACTGGTTGAATAGATGCAGGTGCAACTAAATTTGAAATAAACTCATAAAATATGATTGTCAGTTAAAAATAGGATGAATATCCTCATGCATCCTTGAAATATGAAATAGATTTTGGTAAGACCGAAAAAAGTTCAATACTTTCGAATGGATTTATCCGTTCAAACTGGAATTCTTAGGATATACTAAATATCATTAAACAATACTTACGTTCTGTTTCTTCTTGGACGACATTTTCTGATGATTTGTGTGTGGATGCTGATGATGACTTTTTTGTTTGTTTTAATTATTTTTTTAATCGTTCAATTTCAAGTTTAACATTTTCATTTCTATCAAAAAAAAAGACAATACTAAATCAATCAAAGCATTTTTGTTGTATTTTATATTTACGATTTTGTCGTTGAAATATCTTTTTGATTATCATCATCATCATCAATACCAAGTTGAAGTGTTTTTTTCTTTTCTTGCTGAGCTAATTTTTTTGCATTAAATTTTTGTCGTACTCGATCAAGTTCTTCTTTATCAAAATCTGCATCACTTTTTTCTTTTATTT